CAAAAAATTTTCCACAAGAAAAGGTTTAAAAAGACTGATACAAGATATTTCAAATATTTGCATATAATATTGAGATTATAAAACACATGAAAATATCTTTCACAAAGTGCAACATTTTCTGTGATATCACTTTCTTTCGCTTAGGATTTTTCGAGGAATCTTCAATTTCAGTTTTCAACAGTTTCACATTTGCGTTAAAATAAAAGCATATTTTTAAGATCATTGAAATTGGCAGGTTCTGAAAATAAATTTCATAATTGTGGACTACTAACCGACCATACGGCATTAAGTTTCCTCTTTTTAAAAGAATAAGTCTTTGAAGTTTAATCTCGATGCGTCATAGAACAACTTAAAGAATATTGCAAACGTTCAACGTTTTCAGTTTACGATTTGACACCGAAGCGATTGGATTCCGAAAACGAAACGAAAATAAATTGAGATTATAATAAATACAGATAAAATTTTATTGGTTTTATATTAATATTATTTTTGAAAAATAATATTAAATATATAAATTGAGTTTGATACACGTGTGGATACCTCCAGATACAAGTAAGCACCATTTCAGTAATGAAAACTCTATTAAGTTTTATAGAAATTTAAATTGCTCTGATGATTTTTTCTATTTGATAGTTATCAAATTTTATTTTCTTATTTACATGTAACAGTATACTATGCATTAAGTATGTATTATTAAGTAGAAATTTTAAATTTCTAGAATTTTTAATTGACATAATTTTAAATATCAAGACAGTTAAAATTTGAAAATATTCAGGAAAATTCTAATAAATTCCCCGCACATGTTGCAAGTACAAATTCACGTTTTGAAAATGTAACAAACAATATTTCTTTACTAGTATGATTAATTTATTAGATACTAAATATATTATCAATAAACATTAGTGAAAGTATGTAGGTTTATGAATAATCATATTTTTATAAATTAGTTTAATTGGTTTTTCATTAAATTAACATTAATATTTAACTAAATGAACATAAATTAATTATGCTCATTGAGCTTCTTCCGGGTGGTCTTACTCTCTACCAATTAATAATACATGGCGGTAAGAATTAATATCATTCGAACACGAATTTGTCAGGTTACAATTTATCGAAGGAAAATCTCTATTCATAATACATCATCTTAAATACTTCGAATTTCTGTTTCATATATTTTCTTGAATATTTTTGGAATTCAACTATTAAATTAATTTATAAAGTAGTTACAATGTTGCGACTTCTATCCTTAGGATGAGTTCAAGTTTGAAAATCTCTATGATATATTTAGAGTATGCATAATAGTTGAGAAAATATTTTGAGTAACGTAGTCGTTTTAAATCGAGTCCACACGAAAATATATATAACTAAATTATTTCTGAAATGTAAACATTGTTAGGATTTGCATTAAAATAACTTAGATTTTTTAAAATATCAATGTATCACATTTACTATTAAAAGCTCATTGACGGTCCTAATGCAAATGGTAAATATAACCATGGTTCCACAGAATCTACAAAAATAATACTGCCTTTCATTAGTTTATTAAATCTGGCTATTAAAATATGAACCGGCAGTAGTTTTTAGAAATTGCATACTGCATCTTATATAAAATATTTTTTGTCTACAAATCTTCTTTTATTTTTAATTAGGAAAATATTATAACAATCGAAGGAATTCCTTTTTAATAAGAAATCAAAAAGTTTCATGGAATGTAACTATTTATTAATACTGGAATTAACAATTATATATTTGAAATATTTGAAGTCGACAATAAAATTCCAAATGCAATTAAAATTAAGTATTCATACTTTAATTTATATATTATACGATATAACAATGAAGTGTGTTTAAAATTACATATAAGGTAAAATCCATATTTTTTAAAAATATACCCATTTAATAAAGAACGAGTTAAATTCGCTCTTCATCCGATTAATACTACTTTATTAGGTAATTGTTTTTGTGCAAAATCATTTTTAAATTTATTTTTAATATCTTTTATGTACAATATGGAATAAATATAATGTGTTGTGATGCTTTACATGGATAAACAATACAATTTTTAAAACAAAAAATCTATTACTGTCTGAATTAATCTACAGCAATATTCACAAGTTTTTTGTTCAGCAAATACCATGTTAAAAAGTTCGTTTTTTTAGCACGATAAACCTTTCTTTAAAAATTCAATGTAAATTTGTCTGCAATAATTTACAGTAAATCTACTCATGCAAAAACTTTTAGTACTACCTGTTGATTGGTTATGAATACTAATTTTTTTTAGATTAAGTATACGGTATAAGTTGTCTGTTCTTCATAACAATTAATTATTAACAATAATAATAATAAATTATTGCCGGGCAATTTGAAATATTTAATTAGCTAACATTTATAACCAGAATTTATCCTTCTTATATTTTCTAATATGATTCTCAAACTCTTTCAATCAGGTCTTTTCAATCCTTATCATTAGCAGTTTTCTCAAACTTTCACAGACGAAGTCTGTTTTGTCGGTTTAACTATTTCAATTTAGCCAATAATTATAAGTCTTATATTTTCTTAATATTTTTTAAATGATTGACCATTACTTTTTGGTTAGACCACTCCTAGAGTTTGCTGATATTTAGCCAACAGAAATTTTTATAATCGTATTATCTTATTATCTTATTATAATCTTACTAATACGTTTATAAGGATGTGTCTGATTCAAGTTTTTTCTTAGCCATTGTATTTTAAATTAATTATACATACTAATATATTATGACATTTATTAAAACTTGTGATAATAAATTTAATTTAAGTATCATTCTTGTCATAAAGTAGATCGCTTTCAGATTTTTTGTATGTCAAAATTATAAAAACATTTGTTTTAAATGGAAAGTTGTATTCTCTTATTAATCTATGCGTCAATAAACAATATGATTTGTTCTGCTTCGCCAATTAATCTACATACGACATTTAACTGTGAGAGAAACTTTCATAGGATTATCGAATCTTTTTATCATGAGAAAAATATATTTACATTATGTTATGAGACTTTTTTTGTTTTCGTGTTATGACAAGAAATTTAAAAAAACATAAATAATCATTGTAAAAAATGTTCTAGATGTTGTATATTATATTTCTATATGTGTTGATTTTACTAATAAAACTACGCAGTGTTTATTATAATTATTAAAACGATGCACTTAATAGTTTTTTTTAACGATTGATGAACAAATTTTCATAAAAATGCTTAGCTATACCTAAATTAGAATATTCTTATAAAGCAAAATTACTTAATAAAAGCATTTTTAACTTGCCGTAGGGTAGGTTATAGTAATTGCAAGAAAAATAAAAAAAAATCATATCTTAGATTTTCATACTTTAAAAAAAATGGATGTATGTGTGTGTGTGTGTGTGCGGATACAAGTTTTTGTCGACGATTATGGGAACACGCATTAACCTCTTCGAATAATTCAAAAAACGTTTGATTTCTATTGATAAGACGCTGGTTAGATTTTTGCAAAGGCAGGTCTAGCCATTTCGAAAATACGGGGCAAAAAGAGCCAAAAATGGCAATTTAGTTTTTGAGAGAACGAAGTATTGAAAAACGAAGTACATTTTAAATTTTTGCGAAGGTAGGTTTAGCGGTTTTAGAGACCGAGTGAAAAAAGTAAAAATAAAACGCAATCTTGCGATCAAAAATGACCATTAGACATATTCACATCAAATTATCAGATATTTGATAGAGATTTTAATAATACGTATGAATTTTGTTTACATTTTTATGGGTTCCATACCAAACAGCCATCCAGCACGATTGGTTTGAAAAAAAAGTTCAAAATTTTCAGAAAAATTCAAAGTATAAAAAAATTTCGAAATATAAAAAAATCTAATTTTTCAACAAAGTCAAATTCTTTCAAAAAAATCTTTTCTTTGAAGGTTTTTTAAAAATTTCAATTTTTGGCACGTGAAGTTGCGGCGAATTTGCTTCCTATGCCATGCACCACTAGTCTGCGAATAAATTATACTTTAAAATACGGTTTTACATATGATTTTCAGCAATAAATGCCAATAGAATCATAAGAGTTCAACATCATCCTTTTCAAAAGTCATTTTTGACCAAATATTATTGATAGGTTATTTTTATAAATACGTAATTATTTTTTGAATTATCAAAACTTATATATTAAAATTATGTTTGTTAATTAAGTCTCAGATGAATGTAATCACCAACGCTGCTGACACCAAACGGCTACGGAAGTTCCTAAATTAGATCCGATACAGGAGACAGAATCTTGTTCATATCTTCGATGTATGAAAGATTCAAGGTTTAAGGGATACTAAAAGAAAACATCAAGGTTTACGATAAAATTCGCCGCAGATATAACACTGTAAGTAAAAAAGTTTAAATTGATAAATTAATAGAATAATATTTTGAAATAATTGGCTTCTTCGTTGATTCGATGATCATCTTGTGTCTTTATATTGAAAGTCATTTTTCTAATACCAATACTTCAAAATAAGAACTAAAAACTAAAAGTTAAAAATGCATTATTTTTAATATGGCTTTATCAATTATAATACATGATTTTCACTTCAGATATAAATAATCATATTTATCAATTTATTAACTAATGCTAAATTTTCTTACTACTCGTTTCTCGTTTTAGTAATTTCTTGAATATTTTTGGTATCTGCGATGTGATTTTACATATGGCATGAAATCTACAAATTTTATATTGGATAATACAAATTCCAATAATATGGAATATAAAAAAACATTAGTTTAAAATTCATCGACTTACTTACCCATTTATTCCTCAGTCTGTCATAGCCGTTCATAATAATCTAATGAATATAGTCTATTCAAAATGTTTTATTTTAGCTTCATATATTTTACATTAAATTTTTTGTACATTTGTTAGAATTATATATATATATATATATATATATATATATATATAAATATATTTACATAAATCTTTGTCCAGTAATTCTATATTTTTTATTTTCTCTAGTTCTGACACCATAGCGCTGACAGGGCCGTATTCACATCGTACGCAATGCCATATGGCTCAGGGATCACCTGACGCGGTGCTCCGAGGCCCGCGGGGGTCCTTACCTGTGAGAGTTCTGCACTGGAATAGGTCAAAATGATAATCTTGTCTCTCAAGTTTTATTGCATGCGCTAAATGGAAATGATCAAAAATATTCGTTTCGAGTATAATATATATTGTAAATAATGATTTTTCAAGAATGTTGAATATAAAAATGCGACTATAAAATTGATCGGCTGCGGACTTTATATAATGATCATGTAGTTACTAGATTTACATTTGCTTGACATGAATCTTTAAATTAACATTTGTTTATAAACAAAATATTTTACGACTTAATACATTAAATCAGTTTGATAGTTCACCTTGTTATACATTAAACACCCAGATTTTTATAGGCTACATCGAGTATTTTTAGAACATTCGAAGTTCATTGGGATTTTGAATTACTTGTTTCTATTGCCCACAGTTAGGACTTCAATGAGTTTAACATTACATTTTCTTTTTTTAATCAAAAAACTTAATCCGTTATTTATAATTATTCTATTATACTTGTATAGTGCTCTTTTTACATTTTGCACATGAGAAAATCTCTTCATTTGCAGATAAGTAATCTTATGTAAAATATTATCAATATTTGCTTGTGCATCAACCTCCCATTTAAATAAACATTCGGGGAACTTTAATTGCTTGAATTGTTTATTTTAAACTGTAAAACATCGTTGCTTTTCCTTGAACTTACATTCGCTTGGCTATATGATCACTCTTAGTATTGAGTTGCATTCGTTTAACTGACAAAACTTATTTTGTGTAGAAAAATAGACATATGAAAGCGATCTTAGAAAAGTACAAATATACTTGTAATCAAATATATGTGAAAAAATTATTAAATATCGGAATATGATAATCATTTTCTCAAAGTCCACAATAGATAATATTTTTTAATGTTTAACGTAATAACGAGACTTTCAATAAGTTAGGAAAAATGTTATATGCATGGTCCGTTGTTGATTTATCATTTATTACAAAATGAATGATTCCATCTTTATTACAGAACAGGATATGTGAACTTAGGACCGCCTCGCGCCCTTGCGAGCCGAATTGCGGGCTCTGATGAGCGGCCTTGCTGTTGTGTCGGAGTGCTGCCCTGGCCGCGCGCTATTAATAGCCCCCGTGGCGGCGGCCGAGCTCTGTTCTGGCGTCCTCGCAATGCAGTGTCTCGCGCGAGCCCAGAGCGCGTATATCGTCCCTCTGGTAGTACATCATTACCCGCCATACAGGCTCTAGGAGTCGCGAAGACGCCTGACGTATCGTTGACAGTAGGAGGCCAGGATGCGCGACCGCGCGTACGTGCCAAACCCGAGCTGCCCGCTCTTTTGAAGCCTTGTGCTGGCGCTGACACGCTGGATCGCCTGCAGCGTTTTCGCTTTGGCCGCGGGGGCCGTTCTCGACACAACCGACCGTCGCGGACCGGAGATCGCGCCGACAGCTTGCGGGAACTTACTGAACGTCTGAAAGGCGCCACTAGTTCCAATGTGCCCCCCGTGCCACCTACACCGCCGCCGCTACCACCGCCTGTACCGCCACCGCGAAACAGAACACCTCGTTCTCCGCCCGCAACTTTGCAACAGCATGTCTGCAATACGCAGCAGGATGACTCTTTTGACGTACAACTCAGCAAGCCAGAGTCGAGAGCCATTGTTGGATCTTATATTCAACGAACCATACCATTCCGGAGTGCATCCTTTTCGCAGGTCGACTATTTACCAGATGGTAAAAAGTATGTTCGAAACACACAGAATCCACGCATTGCCTCCGGATCTGTGGCGGCTGAAGCAGGTCTCACGCTGCCACGAAAACGCGAGGGTGTTAGCCCAAACTCCAGAGTGGCAAAGGAATTAATATCTTCAAATGAAATACCAGCGATTGAAAGTGATTCACAGTTAAAATGTTATGAAAATGTGCCAAACGAAATAGATGAAAGTGATACACCGAGTGACAATCGAACATGTGCAGTCGAACTTAACAATATACCCCCTTCACCGGAGTGTCCTGGGACACAAATTGAAGGTAGCATAATTGAAAAATTAACGTCGGATATTCTTTTGCAGAATGTCACGACAGTTGATAATGATTCAGCAAAAGTTACAAAAAGCCAAAATGGAAATTCAAAATTCAATACATTTCCAAAAAGAAAAGATAGTAGACAAGATGATTTGCCGTATTCTTCAATTGATGCTGAGAACATGAAAAGTTTTGGCAAACGAGATTTCGAGAAAGATTCTGAAAACTACGTATCATCTCGAAATTGTTTGATTGATACTTCCTCCAGTGAACCCATGGTTTCTATTAGTGCAAGTGAATCAGATAAAACTGTTGTAGATAATTCTTCGAACTCAGGTGTAGTTGATATAAATCTTGTTAATGAAAACTCACAGGTACCTCAAGAAACGAGTGTAGTTAAACCCGACTTGCATACGGCTGTGTTAACTGTTGTACCAGTGCCGGTTTATGAATGTATTGTTCGCGAATGGTCTTCAACAACACCAAGTGAGACAGATCAATGGACTGCTGCGACACCTACTTTAATTACAAGTGATTCGGTTAAAAGTGATACTCCTTCTCCAGATGTAAGCGTTGCCGAAGAGCGAAAACGAGTTGTGGATAAATCTAAACGTAGGAAAGGTATTTATATAACACAATGGCCTTCTCAGGATACGGATGTTACGGAAGATTTAAATGAATGTAAAAGTAGCGCAGAGGAATTGGTAGAGCAAACTAAACTTGAGAATCATGTTGATGATTCGAAAACTGAATGGCGAAATGAATCATCAGACTATAAAAGTAATAGATCTACTTGGTCTCCAAGACCACCTTTGTCTTGCCAAACATCAGAAGAAAAAGAAGAAGATAATCGAAAAGCATTCAATAGACGAATGGAATCTCTTTCTGATGGTGAAAGTGATCAAGGAGCTTCTTCGCCTGGTAGAGATCATACCACCTCACCTTCTCCCTCACCTTTTGATTTGTCTGATTGTGAAAACAAACCTATGCATCCTCCAAGACGCTACTCGAAAAGACCTTTGCGAGGTCCGTATGGCCAAATGCTTGAAGCAGAGATGAAGAAACCTGATGCATCAAAATTTTCCAAGATGCAATACAACGAAGAATTGAAGTTTCTGGAAGAACTAATTTCGCCAAAACAGCAAAATCAACAGGATTCACGTGCAGCCCGCGTTCGTCAAAATAATCGATCATTTGATGCATCTCATTTGACCAGCCATGCTGCGCAACAGCAGAATTTGACACAGGCGCAAATAAGGACGCCACCTAAACGCAAGCAAGTAAATTTAGGACAGCAAGAAGGTGGGCTGAAGGAGCCACCGAGGACAGTTTATCATCAAAGAACTGCATCTAGTCCATCGCAACTGGAAAATGCTAGGAGTCCACCCGAACCAAGTGCTGAACTATTGGCAGAACTTTTAAGAGGAAGCTCCGAAAGATTATGCACCGATACTGGAGGATTAGATGGAATTCCAGCTTGCGTACAGAAGTTTTTGGTGAGTGTTTTAAAAGATTTTTAAAATTCTAACACACACACACACACACACACATATATATATATATATATATATATATATATATATATATATATGTATACATAAGGATAACTTCTTTACTTCTTATATTGTACGAAATTCCTTTTAATAAGTTACACATATCGAATATTTATAGATCCCATGATGTCGTCGAGTGTATACTCGTATTTTAAAACTTATTATTGTTCGGGTTCTTGTGAGAACTCGACTCATACGAAATTATCAGGAATATTTCTATTAACGAATTGGCAAGAAAGTGGTGCAGACGTAAAATGCGGGGGTTTGCTTTCGTATCCTGTTTGCTTTTTATGAATGGAAGCTGAATGTCGTCACACTAGATTGAGAGCTGGTAGGGAATAATAATATAATATTTCAATGAATAACTGGGTGACGTATTATTTCTTGAAGTATATAACTATACCAAATATTTGTGAGCTTACCTGAATTATAAGATCAAACCTTTTAATGTTAAATATGAAAATATGCAGAAATTGTAAATGATTTTGAATGAATTTATATTCTAATAATTATATGACTCTATGCTATGTGTTACTACAAATCTAGTTCTAGAAGAATTATAACAGGGCTAAAAAAGACTGAAGTCATGTATCCATTTTGCTTCTTTTGGATGCTGAACGTAAAACAGGGCGTTGCGTGCTTTCATGTTCTGAGTTAGTGATTGATCCTACTTTTTCTACCGAATTTTATTCGACACTTCGTAGGATTTGTGCAGGTGTCTTTTTCAAGCATGATCTTTATATCGCATATTGCGTTATTAATAGTCCGAGATGGTCGTCGTCTCTAAACTTAGAAACCGTCGAAGGAACGATGCAACGGAAATCGCTCGATGCCGCACGCGTTCTAGAGAACAACGTGCTCACTAACTTAGGTAGAGACCACATGCCGAGGATGATGAGTTTATTTATCACAGATACGTAAATAGAATGATTATTAATTAATTATCTTACATCTCAGCTCACGTTTTTGGCTTTTCTTAAATGTCTGTACAATTGTACGAGTTTAGAAAAGCATGAGCAAACTGATGATTAATATATTGAGAATATATGCATATTGCATTTCATTTCTAAATTTCAAACGTTGTGTTTTGAGAACAATGATAACTATTTTTTGAATCATTAATAATAAAATCTATAAAGATTTAAAATTAAGACAAAATACAAATTAAGTTTATTTCTTATAATCAGCTGTTCATACAAGTCTAACAATAAGTGAATATACATAATTAACAGATAATAGGCAATATACAATATAAAACTTATGTAATTTTTGTTAAGGATTTATGTTGTGATTATTAAAAGTTATTAAGACTAGTGTGAATGCATGAATTTTGGATCATTTTTAAATCATTGTAAAAAGAGGCAATCAATTTTCATTTATTTATCAGTGTTATAAGATGCAGAAAAAAGTAAAAACAATATTTTAAAAATTAACAGTATGTTGAAGTGGTGGGGGTCATAAAAATGACAATTCAAAAATAAAATAAAAGAATATTAATCTATAATAATGTTGCATTGCCATATACTAGGATTAAGTTACCAACATTTATTGGACAAAATAGCGACTGTTTCAAAATAAAGATAGTTTTTCTCGATTGAGTTTTTCGATTTTTTAAAAAATAGTAAAAATTGAAATTTGGAGATGAAGCTAGTATATGCTTGAGAGAAGTCTGTAAAGAAAATTCTCAGAATATTTCAATCGTGGGCATCGTATGGAAACAGAAGAGGATGTTCATGATCAAACGGTTATATCTCTGAAAATAATTTAAATTTTAAAAAATCCTCTTGTACACATATTCTTGTTAAACTTTGAAAATGCGAAACAAAAGAAAAGGACTAGTTTTTTGAATTTCTACACTAGAATACCGCCCTAAATTTTCGCGTATGTTTTCTTCTATTTTTTCGTTAGTATACAGTAAAGTGTATATTTAATGTGCATTTTTAAGTTAGATAGAATATTTATAATTTTTATTGCTTCAGAATATTTATAATTTTTATTGCTTCAGAATATTTTGGCGCTTTATTAATTTGTCATTTTCTATCTAATTTTCACATATTCCCATACTCGTCATTACAGTAGTCCGAAACTAATATGATGATGTTTCTATTTAAATATTTTATTAATTTCGTCGGGTTCACATAAATTAAGATGATACGAAAGTAGCAATTCGAAGGTCGATGATCTTGTCGGCGACTTTGTACTAAATGGTATATGCTATGTTTTATTAGTTTTTAATTGCAGCAATAAAATCTGCATATTTAATTTATTTATTAATTTATATATCGTCATATGATTTTATGTGATTTTTTTTATTTTTGCAAAAACAAAATATTTTGAATATAATTTATAAAATAAACCGTTATAACACCTAAAATTCACATAGATGTTGAAAATTAACATTTAGTATTTCCTTCTCAAATTATAATTGTAGAATTTGTTGAATTGGTTTTGATTAAAAACTTATAATTTGGTTGATTGCGCATAGTTATATATACACTAAAAATAAACATTCTTCAAAATCTCATTACGTGCATAAATAATATAAAAAGAACTTAAATTTTGTTAATTTTGGCGATGATCCAATATAATATGCCATATGGTGCATATGAAATTATATAATTTTCTCAAAAACTCAGTTTATGTTGGTGGGACAAAGTTTCCAATCATATGTTTAAAATAATATTTAAAAGCTTAGTAACATTTGTTTGAACCTTTTGTTTAAAATATTTTTAAGTTTAACACTGAATCTTATGCCTAACTAAATCTTATCGTTTCTAAAAATCAAGATATGAATAACTTCTACCATAAAATTAATAGAGCTAGTAATAGATAAAATTATATAATTTGTAATTAATTGTTCTTTGTTAATATTTATTTTACAAAACTACACGATATTATTAAGGAATATATACATAATAGAAATACATTTTATTTAATCAATCTTATTAACTATATAAACGACTTGGACAAATTGTTTAAAATTATGTAATGAACCATAATTTTTATTTAAATATTTATTGTCAAGGCATAAATGTTACTGATGCTACAAAACTTATTACTTATTTTGAAGCTTTTTGTTCGTTCGTGTTTGTTTTGTTCAGTGTGCAAGCGATGTATACTATCAGTGGCGGCGCTAGACCATTCGTGGGCGTCGGCGAAATTCGTTTGCGAGGCCCCCTTTTTTTGGCAGTTGCAAGTTGACTAGTGGTACATGGCATCGTGCCTAAAGGCAAATTGCTGAAACTTTTCGTGCCGTAATTTAAATTTTTGAAAAGCTTTAAAAAAATTTGAAAAGTGAAAGAAATTGACTTTTTTTAATTTGAAATATTTTGTTGAAAATTTCGAACTTTTTTCATAGAAATTACGTTGTTTTAGCTGCTTAGAGACGAAATATCGAAGCGCGTAAACGCCGCGTTGCAGTCTAATTTAACTCACTATTAATTAAAATCTTTATAAAAAATCTGATCATTTGATGTGCATATGCCAAATGGCTTTTGTTGTGCTTTTTTACTGGATTTCCAAAACCGCTAGACCTGCCTTCCTAAAAATGTAATCAGTTTAGCACTTTTTGCCCCGTATCTTCAAAACGGCTTATCCTGCCTTTGCCAAAAAACAATCAGCACGTCTTCTTACCTTCGATACATGTCAAATATTTTCTGAATTTTTCAAATTGGTTGGTCCATGTTCGCGAAATCGTCGACGAAAATTTGCCAAAATGTTCAGAAATCTTTGAAGATATATAAAAATTTTTGTTTTAGATTTTTTTGCATTTGCATTTTGTATATAAGATTTATTTTTAATTGAAATAGACAAAAATTACACAAGTTAAAATAAACAAACTCTTCGGCAGAAATGGTTTGTTCTCCAGCTATTAGAAAAGGTCTAAAATTAAATAATTATCGCGAAAAGGTTTTCTTTTGCCCAACCATTTGATTAGCAAATTTTATGTTTTTTCGATCATTATGAATAAAAAATGGTTGGAAATCACCGACTTAATAACTAATTAGACAAAATTTTGCAATCTGCAAGTGATTAATTAGATTTAAAAAATCTATGTTCATACTAATTTGAGTGCACAAATCCGCACATCACATAGTAGGTGCACATGGTCTAAAAGCTCGTCCCATTATTCTAAAATTTAATGAGGTTTTATAATTAATCATTTATCGTAGTTCCATAAAATTTATGTTAGATAAGACTAACAGGTTTTTTTTTGAAAAAAGATTTTTACAATAAATTACGAAGAAACTGTGCGGTCGATCTTGACGAAAAACAATTCAGCACGATCGCCAACTGAAAACTTTCGATGAGTTTTTGAATTTTTAAAATTGGTTCAGAAATGTCAAAATGTCGTTTTTTTTAAGACGCTTTAATTTTTTGTTGACGATATCAGAGCGGATCAACCGATTTAAAGGATTTAAAAAACATTCGATTCGTGTTGATAAATTGTCAAAGGCAGGTTCAGCGGTTTCGGAGATACAAAAAAAGTTTAAAAGGTTATCAATTTTATTTGAAAGAACTGATCATCCCAATAGAATGTTTAAAAAAATATATTGCTTGTGTTGACGGTGTGAAATAATAATTAGTTTCAAATTAACAGTTTTTGTTATTATCTCATTGTTATTTCTCATTGATCAATTTTTATTGATCATTGATTACTTTTATTCCTCGAATATTTAATAACTGTTTCGATACGTTAAGATTCCCACTCGTATGTATTTCCAAAAAGAACGATGATTTACATTGTGCTCACATAAGAAATACACAAATATAAACAACCAGAAAATTAGCTCGCGCGAAGTTGTTTAGATTTAATAATCTATAGTGTTGACAGACGATATTAGATAATGTCCATAAAAGATAAAAGAGTAAAATGATAGTGCCTGTAAACCACTAAACACCTTCTTTACTCGCATATCCGTATGAAAATTAACTAAATTTTA